TTTGAAAAGTCGAGAAAAATTCGAATTACCTTCTCATTTCTGTCAATGGAGTCAATTATTGATTCAATAAAATCGATACCAGCAGTTATCGTAGATCTGTAGTAAGCTGCATTGACCCTGAAGCACAGTTCATCGTAGAAACTGAGAGTACCATTGCTGCTACTTTGACTCAATCGAACCGTCCAGTCGCATTCTTCTCAAGGATACTTTCTCCAGCAGAACAAAGACATTCAAGTATCGAAAAAGAAGCACAAGCCATTGTGGAAGCACTGCGGAAATGGCGTCACTATTTGGTTGGAAAACATTTCAAGCTGATTACTGACCAGAGGTCGGTTGCTTTTATGTTCGATAACAACCATCATGGCAAAGTGAAAAATGAAAAGATAATGAGGTGGAAACTGGAATTGTCGTGCTTTCATTATGATATTGTATAAAGACCCGGTAAAGATAATATGGCTGCAGATGCCCTGACTAGAGTATGTTCTTCAATCCAAAATCAAGAAAAACTGTTTGATTGATTTACATGCGAATCTATGTCACCCAGGTGTGACACGTTTCTACTCGATTGATGAAATCAGACGAATAACAAACTCCTGCAATGTGTGTGCTGCTGTGAAACATAGATTCTTCAAACACGGAGGGATTTTGAATAAAGCCACTTCTGCATTTGAACGGCTGAATATCGATTTCAAAGGCCCGCTGCCTTCATCAAGTCGAAAACCGTTTATTAGTAATAGTAGACGAGTTTTCACGGTTCCCTTTCGCTTTCCCGTGTTCAGACATGTCATCGTCAACAGTTAAGTCAAAACTAAAAACATTATTTTCTACTTTTGGGGTTCCTAGTTACATACATTCGGACAGAGGAACATCATTTCTGAGCCAAGACTTAAAAAGCTACTTGAACTCACTTGGAATCTCAACTAGTAGAACCACTGCGTACAATCCAGCAGGTAATGGGCAAGTTGAAAGGTATAACGGCATTCTATGGAAAACAATTGAACTGGCATTGAAATCACTTAACTTGGAAATAAACCAATGGGAGACAGTTTTAGAGGATGCCCTCAGCTCAGTGAGATAATTACTTTGCACAGTCACAAATCAAACTCCTCACGAGCGTATGTTCTTACATCCACGTAGATCTGGGAACAATGGTGTTTCATCTCCTTCATGGCTTCTCAATTCCGTCCTTGTCTACTTGAAGAAATTCAATCGTACGTCCAAGAGCCACTTGTTGAAGAGGTCCAACTTCTTCACGGGAATGCCGAGTATGCTCATGTTAAGTTGCCTGATGGAAGAGAAACTACCGTGTCTAGACGTCATCTTGCTCCGCTTGGTGAGTACCAAACCGACATAGAGCAAACCGATTTTGAGAGTGATGGAAATACTCTATTACCCACTTCTCAACCTGAACCTGAATACTTTCCTAGTCCATCATCAACACAGAATCAAGAAGATGAAATGAATACTACTGCCGAGAATTTACAACCTAGACAAGAAGCTTCTAGAGGAGAGAACCATAACACATATCCGAGAAGAAGTTTCAGAAGCAGAAGACCTCCTAATTATTTAAATGACTACGTTCATTAACATTAGGGAGGAAGAATGTAGTAAAAAACATGTGTCTTCAATTGTTTTGTTGTGTTTGTAAACAAATCCATTATAATTCAATGTAGTATTGTTCAAGTTATTAAAAACCTTTCTAAAGGTGATAAAAGTTCTTTTTCATTCATTCTTACTCTCATTACACATTGTTTGATATTAAAGAATTGTGTACTGTAACATAGATTGTCATCTGTACTTTTTGACTTAAATTATACAGCCTTACCGTAGCATTTAAGTTAGCCTAAGTTTGTTTAGCCTTACATCCTTGATGCATTTTTTGAAGCAGACTTTAGATCTAGGCTACCGGTACTTAATTTTGCATGTTTTTCTAACATTAAGTTTGCTGCTCATTCATTTTATAGAATGAACCATTTTAATTTAGTGTAGGCTGGGCCTAGCATCTTTTAGCGAATTTCTCATATTAGGAATAAGCTGTATTACCATAGTAGGCCTACTCATGGTAAGACCTGGACCCGGGACCGATTTAATTTTTCGTTTTGAGGTCCCTAGAGGCCAAAAACACCATCCGTTCAATTTAAATATATATATATTATATACCGTACATATATATATTTATCTTACTGTGTGTGTGTGTTGATAAATCACGCATAAACTAATGGATGGATTGGGATGAAATTTGGCATGATGATAGCTCACATTCCCAATTAACATTTAGGCATATTCTTATCTCAAAAATCCTTTCGGGCTTTGCCCCAGTGGCTTTGTAGTTCCCCATGTTAACCTTATGAGTAGCCTATTTATATTTAAATGGAATTAAAGAATCTTAACAGCTGGTTCAACTAAACAATTTGATTCTGTGATGTTCAATAGCATTAAAAAGTTAATAGGTTTACCTACAGAGTGCAGCAGTATTATTTTTTATTTATTTATGAAAACAGCTAATTTGCAACCAAAAGGTGAGTGAGCGTAGCGAACGAACTTCAACCTGGAGGCGAGTTAGTGTAGCGAACGTGCTAAATCTGAAGGCAAGTGAGCGCAGTGAACAAGCTCCAACATAAAGGTGAGTAAGCGTAGCAAAAGAACTTCAACCAGGACGTGATTGAGCGATGCGAACGAGCTCATCTTGTTCTTGGAAATTAAACGAGCATTTGACATAAAACCACATTAGGACAGGACGACCTCTGTCGGGCCAAAAAGTTATGGTACACAATGAGAACTTTACTTTTTTCTATGGTTTAGCTGCAGTGGTACGACATTTGGGCTATGGTAGCCTAGATGTGTGGTAGGCCTACACTATAGGATTCCTTATAAATTAAAAGGTGTTTAAGTGTTGTTTATCAATGATTTGGTTCAGCATTTGGATTCAAATGTACTGCTTTTTGCTGATGATGCCAAGATCTTCAGAGAGATTTCACATGTGAGAGACTGCGAGGCTCTACAGAATAGTATTGATTTACTGTCAGTGTGGTGCCAGATGAATGAAATGTCTTTGAATGTCTCAAAGTGCTCTGTGGTAACCTTCACCAGATCTAATAATCCTATTATTCATCCGTATAAACTAGCAGATCAGCAACTTCAACGTTCTTCAAAGGTCAAAGACTTAGGCATCATACTCTCTCCTGACCTCAATCCTCAAGAGCACATTAACTAAATTTGCAAGAAGGCCAACTCAGCACTTAATTTCATCACCAGGGTCAGTCATGACAGATTTTCAGTATCGGCACTGGTAACTCTTTATATCCATCTTGTCAGACCCATACTTGAGTTTTCCTCCACAGTTTGGAATCCGTACCAGTCTGGTCAGATCGCCAGGCTGGAAAACACTCAAAGCCGTTTTGTTCGCCTGGTTGGTCTACGTTTGGGGATGCAATACCGTGCTGTTCCTGTTCATGATCTGCAACTCCAGTTGAACCTGTTGCCTCTTTCTACCAGACGTGAGGTAAATGATGTCTTATTCCTGAAGAAATTGATCACATCCTCCATTGATGCTCCCGACCTGCTCTTGGAACTAGACTTCCGCACATCACGTAGCCTTCGCCATACCCAGCTGTTTGCGAGGCGGCAGTACTCAACACAGTACATGTACCACAGTGCACTTCCTCGTCTGCAACGTCTGGCAAACAACCTACCTGGTCAATTGGACTTGTTCAGCATGAACAATGAAACGTTTAAAAAAAACTCGTTAGCAGCTTGCGTTCCTCGTAGATTTATCATTATTGTTTTGTTGTTCTTGTCCGTGTTATGCTTCATTGTTACTTTTTATATTTATATTTATATTGTTATTTACTATATTTTGTTATATTTATTTCCTATTTACACTGTTGTTGCTTGTTATATCGTTATATCATCTTGTTATATCTATATCTTGTTATATCTATACCTTGTTATTTCTTATATCTTTATATCTTATATCTTTCTGTTATCATTGTTAATCTATTTATTGAATGTACTTCAAGTTGGCTAAAATTTCATCAAAAATGTCTATTTTTTTTTTTTAGTCTTATATAAGTTTTGTCATATTTATGTATTGGTTTGACCATTGGTATAAATAAATAAATAAATAAATAAATAAAAGACCAAATTTTCTTAAACCGTGTCCTCTCCCATAACTTCAATAAGCATTTTATACTTATATGATGTTAAATCCGTACGAAGGACGAGTACTCTGCTAGTATACATATGTGTGTCCGTTAGCGCGATAACTCGAGCAAAAATGAACTGATAGTGATGAAATTTGGTAAAAACGTGTAAACCTACGTTTATTCTAACGAGTTTGCGAACCAGCATAATCGGACAATGGGAGCGGGGTTTATGGGGGGGTTTTATGGGGGTAAAAATAGGTTTTATGGAATAAATTTTATGGATTACAAAAAATTTTGCAATAACTTTTTTACCGTTTGGTAGAGTTTAAAAAAATAACTTAAAAATAATAATGCGGTATATTGAAGCGCACTTTAAACGGAGAAAATTTAAAAATAGTGTAGGCCTAATTTAAAATTCCCAAGTTATTCTTATGGAGAAAATGAAAACTGTTGTAGTTTACTTCTTTACATCAATATTTTGTTTGTACATCAATATTTTCGTTTGACATCAATGGTTTTGGGCTAAGTAGTGAGATAACTTTTCGATGTTTTCCAACTAAATAGTAGGCTACAAAATCAGACCAAAAACTGTAAAAAACATCGAAAAACAATTGATGTTTTAGTCCCAAAAACATTGATGTTTTAGCAATAACGTTATCGGTGCATCAATGGTTGACGTCGATGTTACTATCGATACTCATCCCTACTAACTTATAGAATATTATGCCATCATAACAAGCTGCAGGAGAAACCAACAACTAAAAATAGCATCAGTGGCCTTAGGCTCTTGTTTTACATACATAACTTATTAGCCTAAACAAAAAAACCTGTTGAATAGGCCTATTGTGCACTAACCTTGATTTCACTTTTAGGGCTTTTGATTCTGATGACAGGTTTGACTACAGGCTTCATTTTAGTATTAATCCTGTTTGGTGATGTGGTTACAGTTGACATGTTTACAAGTACAGTATTCCTGCCAAATCTTAAAACACGGTAAAAATTCAGTTCCCACAACTCACCTAAAAACTTTTTACTAGCCTATCCCTTTTTTATTCAGTAAACCATTTGTAAATAACTTATCACATTAAAAAAAAAGTGTCTTGTGTTTTCAAATAAAACCATTGCCTTCTTTCTTAGGCCCTACCATACCATAACATAACCACTAACCATAACATAACCTCACTTTAAGTTTTCACTGTTTTCAGTTTCCCGTTTCCCTTTCGGGTCTGACTTATAGGGGGGAGGTACACCAGATTGAAGCATTAGTTCAAAATTCCTCCGTGAGCAGCGCTGTAGTAGAGAGCATTTTGGCAATGAAGGTGGCTGAGAGTTGGCTCCGTGTTTAGCCACGGCCGCCTTTAACTACAGGCCGCGGCCATCGAACTGGCAACGTCGCAAGTGGTGCTGTGTCACGTGACTGTGTTGTTTACATTTTGTTTGGATTGGAAGCAGCCGACGCCGACACGCACTTTTAATATTTTTACACACTTTGCACTTGCAGAATGCAGACCAGACAAGTAAGTACAATTGTACAATTGACAAGTACAGTTGTATAATCAAGTAGTCTGTTGTTGTTCAACTTGTACAGTACATTATTTTCACGAAATATGCTAAGTTAATTATTATTTCTCTAAATCATTTGAAGAATCGAGTTGTATCAGCAACAATACGTAAGTTTGATTTTGGTACAAAAACTAAAAACTAGCCTACAGATTAAAGAACCAGCTAAGATTTCAGTTCTAATCTTATTGTCTAATTGCCCATGTATTTATTAACTTATTAAGTAAGCCTATTTTGTAGTTTGGTCTAGGCATTGTCTTTATAAATATATCCAATATAGATCTGAAAGTAACAGACATAAATTGCGTCAATTAATCCCTTCATAAAGTTGAACGCAGATAAATTTAAATGCATTTTTTAAAGTAATAATTGAACAACAAAACGACCCTCACGAAAGTATTCGTGCTACTGACCTATTGTCTTAACTTTACAGCATTAACATAGACATTAAATTTATGATCCATACCGTGTCTGTTCGTTTAAAGCCTATCATTGGCCTGTTCCTGTTCTAAGTTAAGTTAGTACTGTATTCGTGGGTTAGACAAGACATAGCCTATAGAAGCATTACATAGTTAGTTTCTCTAAATTTTTGTCTAGACAAGGTAGTATCAGAGAGTGCCTAGGCTAGGCTTCACTGTGGACATCTAACTGATAACCTATTTAGTCTACCATGATCATTTAATGCTTAGGGAATTAAGTTAACAGGCATGCAGGCTATTGGTTAGTGACTGACTTAAATAACTTACATAAAACTAAAATGGCTATTTGCAAGACTAAACAAGTAGACTCACAATACTCACTTGTGAAGTCTAAATATTGTATTTCTTCGACTCTAGGTAGGTTATAAGTTAGCAAATATTTTAGTAAGTTATAGTCTATGTAACTACTTAGTATGATAACTTATTGTCGGTTTATGTCGATTTCTTAAATATATTTTTTAAGTATACAGATTTGCACTCTGTCCATCTTTTATGCTACATTTCCGTTATTTAACTTAAGGTCACTTCAAATTTACAACTACAATAATTTTTCATTGTTCAGTATCAACAGTCTTTGGTGAGTCGGTGGCTCAGTTGGTAGCGTCCGGACTTCGGGCCTAAGGCAGCGATGCCGTGGGTCCGGATCCTGGTTACTGCCACTAAAATTTATCAGTACAGTTCACCTTCGTACTGTACCGGTTCACCCCTTGCTTTGCTAGATACGTTCCACAGCCAGATCTGTAGTCTTTTTGGATAACCTATGCAAACACAAACCTAAACACAAAATAAACCAATACTGGTTAAACAATGTTTTTTTTTTTAATATATATTTTACACTTTGCCCGACACACCTATGGGCATGCTTAGTACTTTTAATTGGAATGGTGACCATACGAAGGTAGTTAAGATATAGAATGCCTAAGCATTATACACAATGGCTTGTCAAAGTGTTTGGAATCCTATAGTTATTATGCTTTTCCTTTATTTTGCCTAAATGCTTCAGGCATTGTATAGAAAGCCTGCATTATATACTTTGCCTGTGACATGTATATTAAACTTGGCCTTTAGTTCCTTAGTACTTCCTGAGCTTGCCTTGTTTAGAATATTAAGTGTTAAAACATAATCCCTTATAGACTTGTCATTCTTATTGATCAGCCAAAGAAGATTTAAAGTTTTGTTTCCGCCTGCTATTTGTTGAGGGGTTTTTGTTATTTACTCTTTAATATCTTGCTTAAACATATAAATAAAACTAAATTTTGGTAAAATCAATCTATGTCCTCTAGTATTCAGAACATAACCCAATTTGGAGGATTTCCCCTAACATATGAGAGAAACGTATATTCTACCGTAACGTTTTAATGTATCATAAATAACCTGCTTGCCACAAAGTTTTTTTTTCATTGGGGGACCGAGCAAGGCAGATTTTGGAAAGGCTAAACCAAACAAGTGCATCTCTTGGTAAGTTTTAATGTAGGATAATTAAATCTTAACCTAAATGGCTTCGCCAATTATTGGTATCAGCCCTAAATGAAAGAGTTGAATTAAAAAAAAAAAAAAATTTGTCTGGATGTCAATGTATGTAGTAGAGATATCTAACTCATTTATGTTTTACCAGGTGGATTGCTGAACAGCATGGGTGAAAGATTTCTACAACAGTACATCTACAGCAGATGTAACTAGTAACTAGGAGGATGGTGGTTGAACTAATTGCTACAACATTTTTCCATTCAGAAAAAAATATGGGGACCGAGCAAGGCTAAACCAAACAAATGCAAATGTTGGTAAGTTTAATGAAATTACATCCGTACCTACATGGCTTTGCCAATTATTGGTATCAGCCTAAATGAAAGAGTGAGTTGAAATGCATAAACTTGTTTGAATTTCAATGTAATAAAGATGCAATCTTGTTTTTTACAATTGTTTAAAGGGAACGGAAAAATCAGTTGTTTGATCTGGGTAACTATTATTAACCAATTAAACTAAAAATTTGAATTAAAAAAAATCAACTGCATTTTAATTATTTACAGCTTGCAGGCTAATTAAAAGTGTAATTCAAAATTGTTTTTATTTAAAAAAAGTTTTATTTAGGCCTAATTAATTAGTTAATAATATCTACCCATATCACTAGTGGTGATCTATTAAACTCATTGCTACATTGTTGTCTAATGTTAAACATAGACTAAACATTCATAATAGCTCAATAGACATAACAGTAAATGATGTAGCCTACCTAACTTATATAATATCTAACAGATTAGCCTACCTGAGACGGGTAACCATTAGCTTAAGTAGAAATATTTTTGTCTTAGTGTGGATTTATAATTTATTATAATGTCATCATGAATATCACCCGAGATCACAGCCGTTATATTATCTACCGTTACTTACTTACGCACTCCTGTGGCCATTTAAACCCTAGGCGGTCTTTGGCGTCGCCAACCATGTGCCTCCAGGATCCTCCATCTTCTGCCAGCTCTAGGTTTGCTCCCATTCTCCTTAGGACTTTTTCCCAATGCTCTCCTATCCTCCATAGTACCTCTTATCACATGCTTTACTATCTCTCTCTCACCTGTCTTTTGAATGTGGCCCAGCTATCTCAACCTTCTACTTGCCACTACCACAATAGGTACCTATCTAGTTCTCTAGTTCTCTATGAAATTCCCTCAACCCCCTATTTTTTTATTCTCCACAAAACTTATCTTTTATTGGTCCAAAAAACGCTTCTTAATATTTTATTTTCAAAAGTATTAAGTCTTTATTGGGATTTTTTAGTGAAAGAACAAGTCTATAAACCGTATAAAACTTACGTACCTCATCCCGCATTTTCAGTCTTAAAAAATTAGTCTGGGGATGACTAGCTTCGCGTCAAAGACCCATTATCAAATCCACATCAAACTGGGCGACAGAGGTCTTCATCAAAATGTATATATACGAGTCGACACATAAAGCTCAAATTTACACATAGATACAAGCACATTTATATACATTTAAAAAGCTATTGGCCGGCCACATTCGTTCACATACTGGATAAACCGACACAGTTTGTATGGCGGACACGATGGAACTATCCACAGTTCCATCATGTCCGACAAACAATAACAAATCGACACAGGAACTATGGATTTCATTACAATATTAGGCAGTTTTAGGTTAAATTCCCCCTCCCCTAAAACCGTCTTAGAAATATTGTGGACAAATCCATAGTTCCTGTGTCGGTTTGTCCTGTGCGTGAAGGAATGTGGCCGGCCTATAGCTTTTTAAATGTAAGTTAGGTACTCATATCCGTGTGAAAATTTGAACTTTGTGTCGACTCGTGTATATGTACGTTTTGATGAAGAATTCCGTTCCGTCGGATTATAAACTCTTCAATTTGATGTGGATTTGATAATGGGTCTTTGACCTGAAACTAGTCATCCCCAGACTATTTTCAAGACTGAAAACAGACAGAAGTACGTAACATAAATGTAAAAGAAATAATAGTGTTGTAACTTTAATGCTATTGAACATTATAGAACAGAACTAACTTGTTTAATTGAAACAGCTGTTAAGATTCATTAATTCCATTTCTCATAAGGTTAACATGGGAAACTCCAGAGCCACTGGGGCGAAGCCGATTGGACGGATCACGAAATTGATGGTGTATAAACCTATTCCATGAAATTCTACACGTATGTACCAAGTTTCGTGGCAATCGGTTCAGTGGTGTCTGAGTTTATCACTGCCAAATATATATACAAACATCCTCTTTTATACTTTATAGATAATTTCTAGTACTGTAATTGTTAATTAATTAATGCTCTATGAATATTTTTTCTTCTTATTTCAGATAGTAAAAACCTGCCGTTGGAATGGATCGAGTTGATGAGATTTACGCCTTTCATGCCATTCCCCATTTATGTCTTGGAACTTTTCAGTCAAACTTACATCATCATGAAAATGTTTAATACATACCACAGAGCTTGCATTGGGTTCCCAATCTGTTCTAGAAATTGCACGAATCCACGCCCTACACAATTCAGGATTCTTCGGGAAAGAAAATGTACTAGTAACGGGTACACTTCCATATCTGTTGGCACTAATATCGAATGAGTACTTTTTATATCGAACGAGTACTTTTTATCGATATATCGATTAATCGATATATAACCTAACCTAACTAATTAAACTATCGAATGAG